CACATACTGTAGTTCTGCGGAACACAATATTTATACTTGCCCTTCTTTCGGATCTATTCCCGTTATGCAGCGATTTGAGTTCGCCAAGACTCAAAAAATGTCCCTCAATTGCTTGAATGTGGGTCATGTAGTTTCCAGTTGCAAAGCTTCCAAGTGTCGGGTGTGTTCAAAACCACGTTGTTGCACAGATACTCTGTAGCTGTGCCAAACTCACCCGTTCTATAAGCGGTCGCACCTCCAGAAGCATATTTAGGTCATGTCTTGAGTACCGAGCAAGTAATTCTTGCCACAGCATTGGTGAAAATTAGAGATAGATTCGGCCAATACCATCCTGCACGTGTGTTGCTTGACGGCGGCTCACAGTTGAATCTCATGACTGAGAACATTGCCCAGCGCTTGCGACTAAAGCGTGAAGACACGGCAGTGAGTATTGCAATGGCAGGTGGGACCACAACTGATAGTAAGCACAAGGTGTGTACTGCTATTCAATCTCGTTTGAATGCACACAACTTTGCCACTGATTTTTGGGTTCTTAAATCCATATCCACTTGTCGAAAATCTCGAGCTGGCTGACCCAGAGTTTGGCTCAGCCAAGGTTGACATTCTTCTAGGCGCTGAATTCTTTTACGGCTTGTTGTGTGTTGGGCAAATCGAGCTCAATTCTGGTCTTCCATTGTTGCAGAAGACCTTGCTGGGATGGGTTGTTGCTGGTAGGTACACAGGACAAATACCTCGTCAACAACTTAGTGCTAATGTTGCCGCTCAAGTTAGTGATTGTTCTCTCGACACATTAGTTCAACGCTTTTGGGAACTCGATTGGAGCCCAAACGAGTCGAAGGCTGTGCGCCAGACAGCTGAACAAAAGGCCTGTGAAGCTCACTTCACCAAATCAGTACAGCGCCTGTCTACAGGACGTTTTCAAGTCGAACTTCCGTTCAAATCCGATCCCACTGTACTAGGGCTTTCCTTTCAAACTGCTGAAAGACGATTTCTGCAACTTGAGCGCAAACTCGCAAGAGACAAAACTCTGCATGACATGTACCATGACTTCATGAGAGAGTATCGTGATCTTGGGCATATGTCTGCTCTTGAATCTCCTCCTCCAGGACAGCACTACTATATTCCTCATCAGTGTGTCCTGAGGCCTGAAAGCACCACAACCAAATTGCGTGCGGTGTTTGACGCTTCTAGTAAAACGTCAACGGCTCTATCATTAAATGACACTTTAATGGTTGGGCCGACTATTCAGAGGGAGCTTTATTCAGCACTTGTAAATTTTCGGTTGAATAAATACGCAATTACTGCCGACATCTCCAAGATGTACAGGCAAATAAACGTGTCTGAAAAAGACAAAAATTACCAGCTCATTCTCTGGCGAGAAAGCGCCTCTCATGAGCTGCAGTCCTTTAAGTTGAACACTGTCACATACGGGACTGCATCAGCGCCATTTTTAGCTGTGCGCTCGTTGTTTGAATTGGCAAATATTTATGCTCGATCTCACCCTGTAGCTTCAAATGTCATTAAAAATTGTTTTTATGTTGACGACATGTTGGTAGGAGCAGATTCTTTACATGAGCTTAAAGAAATCTGTAATCAAGTACGAGAGGTACTAGATTCAGGAGGGTTCCCATTGGCAAAGTGGGCATCAAATTGTCAGGCCTTGTTCGGTGATGATAGCAACATCATTGACGACTCCACCTCAGTCAAAACGCTTGGAATGCGCTGGGCCCCTCAAGATGATGTATTTCGGTACCATATAGATGTGGATAGCTTTATTTCGTTAAAGCCAAAAAAACGAAACATCTTGTCGGTAGCGTCTCGTCTGTTTGACCCACCTGGGCTGTTGTGCCCCATCGTCACAAGGGCGCAAATTCTGTTGCAAGAGTTGTGGCGGTTGAAAGTAGATTGGGATGAAACTATTCCAACGAGTATGCATACTTCGTGGAATAAGTTCATTGAGACTCTGCGTGATCTACACAAAAATCATATTCCGCGATACGTTTGCTTAAACGTTTATGTGACAGTGCAAATTCATGGTTTCGCAGACGCCTCAAGTCAGGCATACGGTTGTTGCATATACATTAGGACTTGCAACAATGATAGCGTCGGTGTTTCGTTGTTTACAGCCAAATCCAGAGTGGCACCACTCAACGTAAAGACGATTCCTCGACTCGAGTTGTGTGCGGCACTCTTACTAGCGAAACTCTGGCAGCATGTTTGCGCCACGCTGAGTAAGTTTGCTATAGAAAGTGTAAACTTCTGGTCAGATTCTCAGATAGTGTTGTATTGGTTGGAGAGAGACTCATCCACGTTGTCCACATTCGTGGCAAATAGAGTGGCTGAGATCCAAGAGGCTTCTGAGAATACTGTTCGGCGTCATGTGCCTACAGACTGCAGCCCTGCTGACCTAGTTTCTCGTGGAACTGATATAGACGAAATTGTATCGTCACTGTGGTTTAATGGCCCTAATTTTCTAAAGCTCGGTGAAAATGATTGGCCCAATCTTCACCATGTTGAATTATCGTCAGACATTAAGGCATCTGAAGATAAAAAGAATGCGACTGTACTTACAGTCATTCGATCAGACGTAGAGTCAAATTGCATACTGGACCTTATGTTGAAACGTTCATCCTTTCCTGAATTAGTTCGGATATTGGCATATGTTTTGCGATTTTGCTACAGGAAAAATCGCCGTGATTCTTCAGTTGTGTCAGCTTTAGAACGAAGATTATCGTTTTTTAAGCTGATTGAAGTGCTGCAAGCTGATATATACAGCCGTGAGATCAAGTCTCTACAAAAGTCGGCGCCACTCCCCCCAAGTTTGCAATCTCTTAATCCCTTTATACACGAGTTCGAAGACACTGGGATTAAGTTTCGTTTGGTTCGAGTAGGTGGACGTTTGTTGCATGGTCCAATTCCTTATGACGCAAAATTTCCACTATTACTGCCTAAAGACGCACCAATAGTAGCATTGTATATTCGGCATTTGCACCTCAAGCACTATCATGCAGGTGCAAAGGTATTAATTGGGCTTCTTAGGCAATAGATCTGGGTGGTGAATGCTCGTAGTGCTTGCTCAGCAGTTGTACGTAATTGTGTACACTGCTTCCGATACAAGCCCAAGTTGTTAGGGCAAATAATGGGAAATTTGCCAGGTGATCGCCTTCGAGAAGGTCGACCGTTTAGGGTTTGTGGGGTCGATTTTTGCGGTCCTTTCCATGTAAGCTACCGCATACGAGGAAGACCGCCCGTTAAAAATTACGTCGCCGTGTTTGTTTGTTTTGCCTCGAAGGCCGTTCACCTCGAGCTGGTAACAGACCTATCGACTGATGCCTTTCTTAATGTTTTCAAAAGGTTCATCGGAAGACGCGGCCTGCCGGAGACAGTTTACAGCGACAACGCGACCAACTTTGTAGGAGCGAGGTGCGTGCTGAAGGAGCTGACGTCGGCGTTCGAGAGGAGCAAAGCCGCCTTCATGGACTTAGTGGCAGAGCGAGGGATCGATTGGCGGTTCATTCCTCCCAGGGCTCCTCACTTCGCAGGACTGTGAGAGGCAGCGGTGAAGGCGGCGAAGGCTCGTCTAGTCAGTGGCGCAGGCAACGCGAACCTGACCAGAGATGACCTGGAAACGCACCTGGTGGACGTGGAGGCGATTCTCAACTCCAGGCCTATGGTGGCAAGCGATCCCAACGACGGAGAGGTGCTCACTCCGGGCCACCTGCTCATCGAACAGCCGCTTCTTACTCTGCCGCACGAAGGCGTGCAAGAAGGGTCTTTGAGCAGAGCCGGGTCCGGATTTTTGAAGCGGTGGCGGCAGCTGTCGGGGCTTAAACTGCAGTTTTGTCGCAGGTGGTCCAAGGACTACCTGCTCAGCCTGCAGCAACGGACGCAGTGGGCCAAAGGCGTGGCCAACCTGGACGACGGAGCAGTGGTGCTCGTCCACGACGACAACGCCCCCCCACAGAAGTGGCTCAAAGGGCGCGTGGTGGGCGTGATTTCCGGCGAGGACGGCAAGGTGCGGGTGGCCGACGTACTAACCAGGACCGGCACTATTAGGCGACCAGTCCACAAGTTGGCGGTGCTCCCTGTGGATTTGAAAGACCGGGAGTCCTTCAAAGGGGCCGGAATGTTGGAGCATCATGTATAGTTTTAAAGTATCTCTGTTGCGCTCTCTATTGCGCCCCTTACTGCGCTCTCTTTGTGCATTCCTTTTCTTATGCTGGCCCGCTGACTTGTAGCGGCAGCAGGCAAATCACTTGCTAAGTAATACTCGCACGTTCAACATCGTCTGTACAATTTTCCAAGCCATTAAAAGCCATATTAATAATTGAAAGAATACCGCGTCTCATTTAATAACTAGTTAAATATCGTTTGTTGCAATCGCTAAAAAGCTAGCGATTTTTCAAGGGTGACAAGACGAGTCGATCTAGCCCTGTCTGTCTGTCTGTCCGTATGAACACCTGGATCTCAGAGTCTATAAGAAATAGGGACACCAAATTTTGCACAAAGATGCCTTATGCGTGTTCGTTGTGCAAGTTTGTTTTATTTTTTTGATTTTCCCCCACTTCCCCCTATGGAGGATTTCCCGATATTCCATACGTATAATCGCCTATATCGCGCCTATATATACAAGGGACACCAAATTTTAGTCCCAGATGCCTTATGTGAATACGCAGAAAATGTGTACTTTGGAATTTCCCTCCCTCATCTCATTTCTTCCTATTTTTCATTTAAGTTCGAAACATCTGCCCAGTTAGTGATTATGTGTGAGATTTGTAATTAAATTAATTAAATTAATTGTAATTAATTGTAATTAAATTAAATTAATTAATTAAATTATTTTAATTAATATAATTTATTAAAATAAATTTTTTAAATATATTTTTTTTTTATTTATTTTTATTTTTTGTCGGATGTACAGGGTATTGGGATGGGTATTTATAACCAAACAGTAAGTCAGGACGAACTGAATGAGAGATTAAAAAATGTAGAAAACTTACCATTGATGCCGATGGCTTCGCAGCACCAAACTTGCCCAAAAGCACCTTCACCTAAGATATTGAAGAATTTTAGCCGGTGCCTTGGAAACTCAAAGGAGCCACTAAGCCCATTTCTTCTAATGCTATAGCTCATATCGGTACTAGTATCCAGCGACACAGCCAGTGTTGTTGCTCTCGGATCAACACCAGTCGAAAAATCACCCACAGAAGCGGCTGAGAGGCTTGAGGTCGCCTATTAGTGGCACAAATAGGACCAATTTCCAATGAGGTTTATATCATATCATTTAAGAAATGAAATGCAAAAGAGAAATACGAATATTTAACAATAATAATGCGAGTAAAAAAAGCTAGCGAATAAACAATACTGGAGCCTAAAAACTATTCTGTTACTAGCTGATAATTTTTTATTCAAGTTTTAACTTTTTGTTACCAGCCCGTTACTTACCACAGTTTGCTCTCGATCCCAAGGTACGTAGCGATTGCCATATGCTAAGGGTCTGCTCCACTGCTGCATAGCCATTAAGTTATGATTATCAGAGGTATGATTACCGCTAAGGTTGCTTGGATTCGACTTCTTTACCAGTTCTTCTTTAGACTTTTTCTGTAGCGACTTGCTGATAGCACACAGGCGGTGGCGACAAAAGTAGCCAAAAGCTGCAGCTCCTAATGCAATTAGACCGCAAAGACCAATCACTATCGAAATGGTCATTGACTTAATCGTAAGGAGAGTGGCTGGGATTTCGTCATTTTGTATTTTTTCCGGCCTTTGATTTGTTGTTTCACTAATTGGTTTAAGTTTAGTCCGGGTACTTAAATTCACCTCCGCCAAATCGAAAAATTGTTTCGTTTTATCCACTCCTTTTGCATCTTGGGCATTTTGTATAACAGGATATTGATGTTGATGTGGATAGAAGTTAGCGAAGTTCGGATAGACTACTGCACTGTTATCTGATAGGCCTTTTTGCAAACTTGGCCGACGATTAGGAAGCCCATTTCTAATTGATTGCACACCAGGAAGCTGGCCGAAGGAGGGTAGAAATTGGGAAATGTTGTGCACGACATGGGATATAGTTGGGGGTGTATTAGAGCCAGCTCCTATTTTATTACTATCCTGCAGGCCTAAAATGTTAATAAAAACTTCATTTTTCGCTGTGTATCGACCATCCGAAACGGTAATATATATTAAAAAATTTTGCCCAGCCTGCAAAAAAAAGAGAAAATTATAATTTATCAATATAGAACAAATGGAGAAGCTGAAGTCGAGTGCCTCGACTTTAAAATAATCTGAATCTATGTGTACAATAATTATAACAATTTTATTTAATTTACAAGAGAGAACGCTACAGTCGAGCAAGCCCGACAGTGAAATAGCCTGTACTCTCCACAAAAAGGATAATTGAAAAAAATATATATATATTACAAAAAATTAAAATACTAAAAAAAAATGGAATTAATTAATTAAATTAATAAAGAAAATTTATTTAATACATACATACAGACATGTTTATGTACAGTTCTAACAGCATACATTTACATCACGTGTCTATGCGTGCTTATATTCGTGTATGTATGCAGCACAACACAGCTAACTTTCTTTCTCAGAATTGACCTATCATGATGAAACTTGGCATACGGACACATAAGAACTAACTGGATGTAACTACAAGTAAAAAAGCTAAAGTCGGGTGTTCCGACTTTGAAATACTCTGTACGTATGTTTAGAATAATTATAGAAATTAAAAAAAGTAGCAGAATTACAAAAAAAAAATTTTGGATCGATTTTACATCTTTTGGTGCTCGAACTCACGTAAAAGGTGTATAATTGCACATATGTATACAAAGCAATTGCGTCTATGTGAGTGTATGTATGTATATGCTCGTATATTCGTGTCTGTGTAAACATGTTAGCAGTCAACCAAACAACAACATCAACAACAGCCGCGGGCAGCAGCAAATATATTTATGGCTATAACTTCTCGTTAAATCGGTCTATCATGATGAAACTTGGCATACGGGCACATAATTACAACTGAGGGTATTTGAAAAATTTTAATTCTCAGAATTACGGGAGTTAGAGGAAATCGCGATTTGCATGGGAGTGGAGGGAGGAAGGGAAATTCCAAAATACACATTTGCTGCGTATTCACATAAGGCATCTGGGACTAAAATTTGGTGTCCGTAGGTCTTAAAGTCTCCGAGGTATAGGCGATTATACGAATGGAAAATCGGAAAAACCTCCATAGGGGGGAAGTGGGGGGAAAATCAAAAAAATAAAACAAACTTGCACACATAACGCATCTTTGTGCAAAGTTTGGTGTCTCTACCTCTTATACAAAAACTTTATAACACAAACTCTTTTCATTTGAAAAGGTGAATATATATTAAAACCCCAATAACTTAAGCTCCACCACAAATTCGAGTATGCAGTTTTGTTTGTATTCTTCTATAGATTATAAAAATCAAATTTAAAGTTGATCGGTGCAGAAATTCAGAATTTTCAAACAAACTTTGGAGCTCGTTTTCCCCCCTTTGGAGCTTGAATTTTCCAAAATCCTTTCTTCGTGGGCACCCTGATAGGATTGATATGATAGGAATGATATCATAGTTGATAGCACTATTATAGGATCCTTGAGCCCAAATTTCAACTTCATAGCTCTTGCCGTTTGGGCTGTGGGCTGTTGACGCGGTTTCCTTTTGTGCCCCATTTTTATACCCTGTACCCGTAGGGTAAAAAGGGTATATTAGGTTTGTGCAAAGTATGTAACATGCAGAAGGAGGCATCTCCGACCCCATAAAGTATATATATTCTGAATCAGCATGACGAGAGAAATCGATCTAGACATGTCCGTCCGTCTGTCCGTCTGGATGAACGCAAGGATTTCAGAAACTATAAAAGCTAGAATAACCAAAGTTGGTACCCAGATTCTCCTATGTCCGAGAAAGGACAAGTTTATTTTATTTTTTGGAATTTTCACCCCCTTCCCCCGCTACAGAATTTCGTCAATAGCGTCCACATTTCAAATGCTACCTCAATCAAACTTTGCACACATAATTTATATATAATTGTCTACTGTTGTTTAAAATTTTATTCAATTTGGTCAATTCTAAGAAAAGTTATTAGCGAAACAGATTCTCGCCAGTACAACCCCCACAAACTGCAGCAACAAGTTCGCTCTTTTTCTTCCTCTTTTTGCTGCTGCTATGGGCGCATATAACTCAGTGACGGAAGTTTACCCGGGTACAGACTATTACACTGTCGGGCTTGCTCGACTGTAGCGTTCTCTCTTGTTTTTACAGGAAAACTCCCATATTTCAGTCTTCAAACAAGAAAGGAATGTCGAGCAGGCTCAACTTCTAAATACCCTGTACCACCCCACAAAAAAATAAATTAATTTAACTTAATTAAATAATTAATTTAATTTAATTAAATACATTTAATTAATTAACTAAATTAAATATAACATATTCCATACATCCATACATACATTTACATTTACATCAGAATCGTGTCTATGCGTGTTTGTCTACTTGTACATATGTATGTATGTGTGCATTGGGCATGGTTATATGGCTATAACTTTCTTTCTGATCAACCTATCATAATGCAACTTGGTATACGGATATATAATTACTAACTGGATGTGTCTACCGGGAGAATCTGTACACCAAGTTTGGTTATTCTAGCTCATATACTTTCTGAGATCCTTGCGTTCATACAGACGGACGGACGGACGGACGGACAGACGGACATGGCTATATCGACTCGTCTTCTCATCCTGATCAAGAATATATATACTTTGTGGGGTCTGCCACGCCTCCTTCTGCCTGTTACATACATTCGCACAAAACTAGTATACCCTTTCACCCTTTGGGTACAGGGTATAAAAATGGGTTCGAAAGCAGATACATATATTATACAAACTATTTTATAGTTTTTTATACAAAAACATGTATCTACAAAAAATACATACATATGTACACATGCATAAATACATATGTATATAGATTGTGACATTGAGGGCTAGTAGTTTCTAGAATTAAACACTTGTGACGCAGTAAAATCCGGCGCCACATTACATATTATCGCTACGAATCGCACATGATCTTATTGCTAGACTTAATATTGCACATGAAATTATCATATACTAGCAGGTCTTGCCCGTCTTTGCTGGGCTAAGTAAAATGTGCTTATAATTAAAAGTTTATTTACTATATGATATTCTTCTTTCGACACCCTCTAAAGTTTTTTAAAGAGTTCATTTTCCAAATAACAAATATAGTACAATAAGTACTATGTATGGTTATACGTACATACATACATATGTAAGTACATATCTTCGTTACGCACCGGGCGGACTGTCAGTCCTGACTTGACTGTGTGCTTCCTCAGCACATTGCACGCACGGTCGAGTTATCCCCGAAAAGTCCGACGCGGGACATTTAATTTTGATTTATAAATCGGGACGTCCCGCCAAAATTGGAGCGTTCGGCAACGCTGATATGTACATACATTTAAATTTTTCATGCAGGCGTTATCCGCCTATATACATACATACATACATATATAAGTATGTATTACATTTTTTAATTCAACATTAATTTGTGTCTTCAATTCCAAATATGATTGTTGTGAATGTAAAAGGTGTGTTTCTGCTTTTGTAAATCGCATGAATAAACTCACAAAATAGGCTTAACGATAAATGACTCTTAAATTTGTTCAGAGTATATTTGTAGCGTTGTTAGCCAACACTAAAACGGTAAGTCGCTGTAAATATGTGATCAGCTGAGATGCTAGAGATGGGCATGTGTCGGATGCTCTATGTGCTAGAGCATCAAAACTATCGATAGTTGAATCCGTCGATACAATCAATAATTCCATCGAAGTTTGAATGCAATTAACAGAAAATTTAAATAACATCTTATAATTTATTGAGATCAATTAGAACAAATCATATACAAACATACATATGTACATCTGCCCGCAACGTGAAGAAGAATATGCGTAGGTCCGCTTTCGGTTTCTGCTTTACTATCGCTTACGCAGTCGTTGCCTAGCGACGGTAACTGTAAACTTTTGACATTTTGCCTTTGAAATTAACAGGCGTAAATCATCAAAACGAAAGAAGCGCGAGCCAATAACTTGCAGTTGTTGTTGTTTTATACCCTGTACCCGTAGGGTAAAAAGGGTATATTAGGTTTGTGCAAAGTATGTAACATGCAGAAGGAGGCATCTCCGACCCCATAAAGTATATATATTCTGAATCAGCATGACGAGAGAAATCGATCTAGACATGTCCGTCCGTCTGTCCGGTCGTCTGTCCGTCCGTCTGGATGAACGCAAGGATCTCAGAAACTGTAAGAGCTACAATAACCAAAGTTGGCATCCAGATTCTCCTAGGTCCGAGAAAGGACGAGTTTACAGAATATTGTCAATAACGTCCACATTTTAAATGCTACCTAAACCAAACTTTGCACACATAATTTATATATAATTATCTACTGTTGTTTAAATTGTTGTTTTATCCAATTCTGTCAATTCTAAGAAAAGTTATTAGCAAAACAAATTCTCTCCAGTACAACCCCCACAAACTGCAGCAACAAGTTCGCTCTTCTTCTTCCTCTTTTTATACTCTGTACATGAAATGTACAAGAGTATATTAGGTTTGCGGGAGCTCAAAAATGTAACAGGCAGAAGGAGGCGTGGCAGACCCCACAAAGTATATATATTCTTGATCAGCGTGACAAGACGAGTCGATCTAGCCCTGTCTGTCTGTCTGTCCGTCCGTATGATCACCTGGATCTCAGAGACTATAAGAGATAGAGACACCAAATTTTGCACGAAGATGCGTTATGTGTGTATTCTATACGAGTTTGTTTTATTTTTTTGATTTTCCCCCCCACTTCCCCCCTATGGGGGTTTTCCCGATTTTCCATTCGTATAATCGCCTATATCTCGGAGACTATAAGACCTAGGCACACCAAATTTTAGTCCCAGATGCCTTATGAGAATACGCAGAAAATGTGTATTTTGGACATTCCCTCCGCCCCCCCTCTCCACCGCAAATCGCGATTTTCTCTAACTCCCGTAGTTCTTGGAATTTCAAACTAAAATTTTGTAAATACCCCCAGTTAGTAATTATGTGTCCGTATGCCAAGTTTCACTATGATAGACCGATTTACCAAGAAGTTATAGCCATAAAT